GATTATCATCACATCTGACTACACAGCAGCTGTGGCCAAGGCTCGAACGGCATTTACGGAGGTGAGGAGGCTTCTTCGCAACCGACGTGATGTTCGCTATGGCRTGCTTTTRCCTGCACGGCTCCGCATCTCTCATGGGGAGGAAAACAAGGAATTCCTGGATGCCAATAAAGAAATGGACTACGTTAAAAAGAGGATCATCTCGGCGACGGACAGCGAGGAKCGGCGTTGACCGCAGGTCTTCATCGACCCATTATGACTGTCACGTTGTAATGAACCTTTTAACTTTATGTCCCGCGTTATATCTTGATTTAATTTTAGACATTATTCCGAGGGACGACATTCCTCATCTTGTTCAATTCATGAGAGTTTCACAAGGGGTCTGTCCAGATCTTGGTTAGTGATTTATTTATCAGTGCTGCAAAGAGCATAAACAGTAACATTAATAATACTTTAAAGTAAGGGAACCCCTTTTTTATATTTTTTTGTTATTGTTATTTAGTTGTGGCGGGAGTCCAGACAAGGAGGTAAGCCCCCATGTATCAGCACAAATGTGTGGATTTTTTGTTTGTTGGGTTCTCCGTGTTCTTTTTTTTTTAGGAGAAAGAGGTGAGACTATACCGGATCTATTTGTTTTGAGAAAGTCTTTTTCAGGTTATTTTTTGTGATGGTTTGTGGATATTGTACTACAGTCCGATTGACCATACATGAGCAGTTCTAATATTATTAGGTTCATCAACAGTCACCCAGTTAACTGTGTGAGTTGGAATGTGAAATCCCTCAATGGTCCAGTGAAATTTAGGAAAGTTATGGCACATTTAAGAAAACTTAATGCTAATATTACTATTTTGCAGGAGACCCATTTGCGTAAGGCAGACGGTGCAAATCTAAGCAGCAGTTGGTCTGGTRAGGTGTTTCAGTCTAATTTCCAATCTAAATCGAGAGGGGTGGCCATCTTAGTTAGTAAACAGGTGCAATTTACGGCATCCAGTGTTAAAACGTACGCTGCTGGACGTTGTGTAATTGTGGTGGGAAAACTATATGCACTTCCTGTCATTTTAGTCTCAGTATATGCTCCAAATTGGGACGATAAAACATTTTTTAATACGCTTTTTTCAAATTTACCTAATATTTCAACACATAATCTCATAATTGGGGGAGATGTGAACTGTGTGCTATCATCCCTCCATCATAGTACAGTGGGGAGGATCTCTCTTTCTAAATCGGCCCAGTCAATTAATTCATTTCTTAACACTTATGGAGTGGTTGACGTGTGGCATTTTCGTAATCCAACCCTGAGACAGWATTTGTTCTTTTCCCCTGTTCATATGAGCTATTCACGGATTGACTACTTTCTCCTCGATAAATGGATTTTACCTTTAGTGTGTGTATGTGATTATGGAGCGATAGTCATTTCTGATCATAGTCAGCTCATAGTGAAACTGAACGTTCCTGTTACGCAATCGGTCTATCGTCCTTGGCGACTTAATCCGATACTTTTATCTGACGATGACTTAGTTGATATGCTTGCTTCTGAAATTAAGTTTTTTAATGATGTTAATCGGACTCCTGGGATGCCACTCAGCACTGTTTGGGAGTCATTAAAAGCTTACCTGAGAGGTCAAATAATCTCTTAATGTGCAAATAAAAAGAAGAAAAACATCGAACGGCTAAAATCGCTGACAGATCAGATTTTACAATTAGACAGGGAATGCTGCCATGCTTTTARACAAGACTCACTTAAGAAACGTACATTACTCCAAACAGAGTGTAACATCTTATCTACCCAACAGGCCGAATATTTAATATCCAAATCTAGGTATGGCTACTATGAGCATGGTGAGAGGGCTGGACGCCTTCTTGCACAGCATCTACGGCAGCGCTCAGCTAAACAGGATATCTCAGCAATAAATGATAAGCATGGTGTAAAATGTTGTGAGAATGCAGGAATTAATCTGTGTTTCAGCAAATTTTGCCAATCTCTGTATACAGTACTTCCGAAGCCTCACCTAACCCTACTGAATTGGATCCATCCATTTCTGTACACGTTTCTTCCTTTTCAGGGTTGCGTGGGTCACTGGTGCCCATATCCAGCAGTCACAGTGCGAGGGGCAGGGTACACCCTGGACAGGTCGCAAGTACATCACAGGGCCACACATAGAGACAAACGAGACAACCATTCACTCTCTCACTCACACCTAGGGACAATTTAGAGTTATCAATTAATCTAACAGTCATGTTTTTGGTCTGTGGGAGGAAGCCGGAGTACCCAGAGAGAACCCACGCTTGCATGGAGAGAACATGCAAACTCTACCCAGAAAGGTCCCCGGACCGGGATTTGAACTGGTGATCTTCTTGCTGGGAGGCATCAGCTCTACCAACTGAGCCACCGTACCGCCTCCTACTGAATTGGATGATTTTTTAAAAGATATTAAAATCCCTTCACTAAGTTCTGATCTATCTAATGAGTTGGAAAGAGATTTCTCTTCAGCTGAGATAAACTCTGCCATTAAAAACTGGCAAAATGGAAAATCTCCAGGWCCAGATGGTTTCCCGGCAGAATTCTTTAAGAAATTTTCGGATCTACTTTCTCCCCTGTTATTATCAGTTTTTGAGGAATCCTTAGTTACACAATTATTGCCACTGTCTATGCGTCAGGCAGTAATTTCTTTGCTTTTAAAGAAGGATAAAGACCCCTTGAGCTGCAGTTCATATCTCCCAATATCGCTTTTAAATACTGATGTAAAAATTCTTACAAAGATGTTGGCAAAACGAGTCGAACAGATTATCCCCACAATTGTTGCACCTGACCAGACCGGTTTTATTAAAAATTGTCAATCCTTCTTTAATATCAGGCAGTTGTTTAATGTGCTGTATACTTCTGCTCCACCCGGTCACAACTGCAACGAAATTTTTATCTCGCTGGACGCCGAAAAAGCGTTTGACCGGGTGGAGTGGAACTATCTTTTTAAGACCTTGGAGATGTTTAACTTCGGTCATAAATTTGTTTCATGGGTGAAGCTGATATACAGTATACCTTGCCAATGGCAGCAGTATGCACTAACAGTAATCTATCCAGCTATTTTGAATTGGAACGTGGTACGAGGCAGGAGTGCCCACTCTTGCCACTCTTATTCGCAATCGCAATTGAAGCAATCGCAGTGGCTTTACGGAACAACCCTAAGGTTAAAGGTATTAATCGGTTTGGCACTGAACATAAAGTTTCCTTATATGCAGATGATACTCTTCTTTTTATCTCAGATCCCTTTTCTAGTGTTACTGAGTTACTTCTTTTACTTCAAAAGTTTGAAAACACATCTGGGTATAAGGT